ATTATTATTATTATTATTATTATTATTATTATTATTATTATTATTATTATTATTATTTTGGGGGACGACAGCTTACCTTAAAAAATAACCTTTATCTTATTATTTTTATCTTATCATTTTTTTTCTGTGGGACTCTGGCACACATTAAAAATGAAATTCTGTTGCAAAAGTGTACACATACATAACACATATAGCTATTCTATATATATCCATATGTATATACCTACACCCTAATATATAAAAACATATAAATATTAATCACTGTCCATTTTGAATACATAATATGTTATCGTATTAGTTTGTGTTGTGTTGATGACTGTGTTATAGTTTTCCCAAATGCAGACATGAATGGGGCAATTTCTCATTTGACCTAGGCTATCTTGAGTAGCATAATACAGTTTGGAGAAGTGGCTATTCTGGGTTGGGGTAACAGAAATGTAAACTAGCTTGGTTCCTACTAAAACACAAGCTAACTTTTTACCCCCTTTTGTATGGCTGAGAGGTTCACCCGGTCACCTCCATCTGCTCACATGAACATCTTGCCCTCATTCCTTTTACATTTCAATAAAAAGGCAGCTCATGGTTCCTCTGTCATGCCCAGCTATTCACTCCATACTAGTGAATATCAAAGTGAGTCCTGACCGAACGGCTCATGCTCATAACAAGACAAATAAGGCCAATTATGAAGAAAAATTAGGGCTTGATCAAGAAGCAGCTGGCAAAAGGAATGGGAAAAGCCACATAAGAAACTGTGTTAATGGGTTTATCAGTTGCAAAGCTCTGTTGAATGTTCCGTCTGATGCAGAGTACTATGTTGGCAGAAATCAGGAAAAGAGCCCTTTAATGCTGCTCTTCTTCTCTTTTTGGATAGGTGACATGTGTGGTCAACAATTTCCAAAGCCCTGTATCCTCAGCCAAGAAAGTTTCTCCACCTGAAAATCTACCCACTGTCCCAGTCTTGGGATTACCCTGTGTTGACAGTTCCCTTGACAAATTAAGTGTGGCTCAGGTAAGAGATATTCCTGATGCACCCCTGCATACTTCCTCCTCTTCTTCAGTCTTCTCTTTAATCTAAAACACCTACCCACACATACACATGCACAGCTAGCACCACATTTGAGGATGCACTAGGCAAAATGCCTTTTAGTGGGCTTCTTCTACCTCTTCAATGGGTTTATATGGCAATATTTAGAAAAAGAAGAGGACAGTTGGTCCAGCTGCCATTTAAATTTCCTGCTGTTCTCCTGGAAATCCTATTTTCAAACATATGGTGATTTTAAACTGGAGATTTGTGCCAGGTAGGGCAATCATGAACAGGAGGCTCAACTGAGATGCCGACATCTGAGGTTGGGGCTGATCCTCTCCCAACCTACCTTCTTCTCTTCGGAAACCAAAATCTTGTTTCCTCACTTAAAAAGATATAAAGATGCAAAGCATTAGCATCAATGGATTTGCTTTCTCTCTGTGCCAGGGCGGATGTTGACAATTTTGCAGGACAGTTTTATAGTAGGGTGGGAGTCAAACTGAACACAGATAGATTATCAGTTTGAAAAGACTTCCTTTAATATAAATGAGAAATGTTTCTAAATCCTGAGCATCACTCACAAATTCTGGGTAACAAAGGAAAGAAAGGTGTCAACTTGAACAGGTGTGCCAAGGCAAATAGGATCTGAAGAGCGAATAGGAAGAACAGGAGACTCACTAAGACACACTAAATTATCACTCTGTTGTATGGGATGAAGGACAAAGCTTCTTAACACTGTTTTTCCAGCCACCAAGGAGAGGATTAATTAAAACCCATCTCTTTGGGAGTTTCTCCATCCCTAGGTAGGAGATTTCTAGTAAACCCCACATACTGTGGCTCAAGTAGTATTTAGTACCACAGTGTTGAATGTAGGGGAATTTTAGTAGCTTCTGCCATCTCTTATAGAGAACTTCATCTTAGGTGAAGAAACAATAGTAAGAAGAAATCAATGAAGCAAAACTTGCTCAAGTAAAATGTTGCTGGTAAGCACTAGGGTTCACATTAAGGATTGTAAACTTTTAAACAACTCTGTGAATGAACAAAAATACGATTGCATATTTTTTGGTATTTCCTTTTACAAGGCTCCCACTTAATTATTCAGAGAAACTTTTAATTTCTACCTTATTTTCCTCCCCCCTTTTTTGTATGTGTGCCTTGGAGTCAGCCTTTTGATTCCTAACAACTGCCTTGGCAAGTAATTGCAGTTTTTATGGCAAGTTTTTTTCAAAAGTGGTTTGCCATTGTCTCCTTCCTAGATCTGAGAGAGACTGACTGATCAAAGATCACCCAGCTGGCTTTGTGCCTTAGGTGGGACTACAACTCTCAGTTCCTTGGTTTATAGCCTTAACCACGACATCAGACTGGTTCTCTGGAGCTCCATTCTTAGAATGTTCTTTCTACTCTTATGAAAACATTCTCGCCTGTTTTTCTTTTTTTTAAAAAACCCCTTTTGTTGTATAAATAATACAATCATAGATCTAATAGGCTTTATAAATACTCTGCTCAGGCAAAATTCAGTAGGACATCTCTGACCATGACCTTTGTTAGAAGACCTTTTGTGATCATCCTACTCCCAATCTCAAGGCAACATAATTTTTTAAACTGTAGAGTTAGTGCTGAAATTGATGCATAGAGGGAATTGTTATCAGGCAAATAAGGGAATAAGTGCAGGAAGCAAATAGCTTTTGGGCCCAGGTATTTTGTATTTATTCTGTGGAAAACAGTTAGATAGATCCTTCTCTCTCTCTCTCTCTCTCTCCCTCTCTCTCCCTCTCTCTCTTTCTCTCTCTCTCTCCCTCCCTCCCTCCTGTCTCAAATGATGAACTAATATACTGATATACATGGAGGCTTTATGAAGCTTTTTAACTTAGAAATTCTTGCTCTTCTATCTCTGAAAGTGTTGTTCTCCCCAACTCCAAATATTCCAATGCTCTAACATTTCTCCCTAAAGAAAACAAGTTTACAACTTATTTCTTTCTTCTTTCCACTTGGGTGTGAATAGTAAATATCTAATGATGTTAATTTCTGTCTCATTCTCTCCCATTTAACCATGTCTTCCCCCTCCACTGCCCTGCCCTGGTGTTGTCCCCTTGGGTGGAGTATGGCTGCAGCAGGTGAGGGACACCCCAGAAGAACCGGAGTTTTCTACACTACTCTCAAGAGGTCTGGAAAGGCAGCTAGCACGATCTCTACACTTGGCAGCACCTGGCAGTGCAGCAATGACCCGTCCTTATGAGTAAGTGCCTGTTCCCAGAATTGTCTATCATGACCCCTTGCAAGGTATCCTTGCTTACTCTCGGCAGCCTAAGTTGGTACAGAGAGTCGGCATAGGCATCATGGGAATAGAAGGAGAAGGAAAGGATACTTCAGATTGACATATGGCTGGATATCGGAGGCAGGCAAAAAGTCATGGTGCAAAAGAATTGGATCAGATATCCTGATGTTCACGCAGAAACTTCGGGGGGTCCATTTAGACATAGGAAGGGAAATGGAGGGTGGTATAGAATATTCAAAATCAGAAATGTTTCACTTGGAAAAAGCACAACATTTTTGAATTTACACTAGTCATACTACAGATAAATAGCATTACCCAGTATTAATGTAGTGCAGGGGTGTCACACAGAGCCTGGGGAGGCGCATGAGCTCTGTTTTTGTTGGCACAGAGTTGTAGGAGGCTGTTGCAGCTGAAAACGGAGCTCGGGAGCCCATTTTCTTTGGCAGGGTGCTCTGACACGAGTGACGTCGAGCTAGCCACGCCCACCCTGGCCATGCCTATACCACGCTCACACACCCCGAGGTCAAGCATAACCCTGATGTGGCCCTCAATGAAATTGAGTTTGACACCCCTGATGTAGTGATATGCTCTCTGACATGGTTTTTCACCACAGTGCAACTGGATGGTGTTATATATTGCTGGTGTCCTTCAGATATTTAGGGCAACTATGACTGCTGTGTGCTTAGAGCCTTTTGAGAAAAAGAGGAAGTTCTTTGGAAGGATGAAAAAGAGGAAGTTCTTTGGAAGGATGAATGCGTTACATATGGAAAGTCCAATTTAGGACTAAACAACCTTTTTAGTGAAACATCAGAGAGCTATTGATGAGACATGCCTAAACTGTGTGCACAATTATTAGACAAGATTTTTATGCATATTTTCCACCTCCAAACTGTATAAACTTGGATGCTTAGTGGATATACGCATATTAGGTGATGTGTTTTTGTGTGATGTGGGAAGGTGAGGCCTAAGGACGGCAACACCTTATATCAAGGTGTGCATAATTATTAGGCAGCTTCTTTTCCTCAGGCAGAAAGGGGACCAAGAGAGACATTTAACTGACAGAAATCAAACATTGTAAAAGGTCTTTCAGAGGGAAAGCACTCTTGAAATTGCTAAGTTATTGGGGTGTGATCACAGAACCATCAAACCTTTTGTTGCAAATACAGTATAATCATTTCCTTTTCTTGAGGTGCATTTTAAATAGTTTTGACCTGAGTTTATGCATAAGAAAGAGGTAGTTACAATGAAGAATGGAAATGGGATGAATTAAAATTGTCCCCTGAAGTAGTATAAAAGCTTTCTGTGCAGTTTTATTGCCCATTTAAGTTGCCCCAGCCTCTTTGATGCAATAAGAAAATATTGTGCCTTGTTACAAGCAATGATTCCTGGTCTTCCTGATACTGTAGTTGAGCCAGATTATAACTTGACATATCCCCAAAATTTTAGTTTCCAGGTTATGCCTACTACTACAGTATTTCATTTAATGCATATTACAGCATTAAGAGAATTGGTTCCAGAAATGCAAATCCATCAGAGACCTGCTTGTTTGAATATTGTCCTCTGCTCTTAGTTTTACTCTACTCTTCTGCGGTTATTTAATTCATTTTAGAGTTTATCATTTTGTTTTACTGTTTTACCCCTGGTATGAACTGTCAGAGAGCTTTGCCAATTGTGCAGAACAGAAATGAAGTTTGTAGCTATAAAGAAAATGTTAAGATGTTGATGAAGGAGGCCCTCTTCCCTGAGAAAACACTGGGTGTGATGAACCACATACAGCAAGAAATCTGGTAACATTTCATACATGCTTGATTCTATGCAGTCCACTTGGCACCACTTTCCTCTCACTCCCTAGATTAAAAATGTCCTCTTGCTCTGGCCACCTCATCCTTTCCCCTTAACCCCTTAAGGCAGAAGGGACACCATAAAAGCAGAAGTGCCTGCCATTCTTTGGAATTTGGTTTAAGCACTGAAAACCTACACAGAAGAAAAATCAGTGCAGGCGATCAACATCTCTTCCTCTCCATCCACCCATCTGCCCATCTACTCCACTACCAGAAGGTCCCTCTCTCTGCTCAACCACCAATCTGAAACAAGTGCATTTTATGGCCCACAAATGGCAGATTGGACCCTTGTAAACAGGCACACATTTCAGAGGAATCCACTGTTTTCAATGTATTTGTGTGAGTGGTTCTGTGCAAAATATCCTAGCTATTGCTACTAGGTAGGGAGATTCTGAGATGATAATGACTTGTGCCTTCTGGGAAAATTTGCACTGACAGCTTAATTTCCACATTTAGGTTGCAGTCCTGTGCACATTTTCAGGGGCATAAGTCCCACTGAACAAAATGGAACTTGCTTCTGAATAAACACACATAGGATTTGGATGTAAGTCTTTGCTTTCTGTGTTGCTGTGCTGTTCTGCTCACTGGTTTTGTTTACACCAGAATACACTTTTCCATTGTTCAAGTCTTTTTTAAAGTGAGATATATGGTTAAGTGGTATAAGAAGAGACAAGGAAATCCTCTCTTGAACCTGATAATTCAAACTCGATAGCAAAAAGCCTTGCCCGTGCAATGAAAAGTTAAATACCTTGGCTTGAAGTCATGACTACTAGAGATCTGCTCTTTAAAACACACACATGGAACCATAAACATAAAAAGAAATTAAAGACAGTTGATATTTGATTTTGCCTAAGAAGTTAAAGATGGAAAGAGGTGACAGTTGGCTTTCCCCTGTTTTCTGGGACTCAGCTGAAGGCTTTGCTGAAGAATTCTAAAGCTTGAATTTAATTTTGATCTGCAGAGTTTGTTCCTGTTTTTTAAGTCCATTCTGACTTACTTACTCACTCCCTTCTCCCCTCCCTTCCTCTGTTCCAGAATCACGGAGCTGTGTTCACAGAGGCCACTTGATTCTCAACTTTGTCTCTTCCCCTCCACCCCAGATGTCCTCATTCCCTCCCGGTTGGTCACAAGTGAAGTCTGACCTAAGAAAGCATTCTTGATATGGAGCTAGATCTTGGGGGGTGGGCTCTAACCTCATACTCTCCATTTCCCAACCTATTTCTTGGACTTTCCTGGAATCAGGTTTGTTAGTTGTCATAACATAGTTCTGGTTCTATGATGTGAGTGTACAGCATAGATTGGGGAGGGAAAATAAGGGTGAAAATAAAACCCCATTACTTTTTCAGTTGGTCTGATGCCATTCACCATGTTACCAACTGAACATCATTGCTAGGAATGAGCTCTTGGGATTTTGATCACAGCCTGCTTTGCCAAGGTTCTTTTAGGAATCCTTGTCATCTGATAAGGCATTATTTCCTTTACTGTTGATTCCTCAAGAAAAAGGTTAGGTGCCATTTCCAGAAAAATAGCTCTATCTTGGGAATACACTGAAGAAGGCACATTTGACCAAGAGAGGTGGTTTTGATTGCAGGAGTTTTAATAAAAGAAGTTTACAATTAAATTTGCAAATTAAAGATTTGAATAGTCAGAAAAATTATTAATTAATCATTATGGTAGCTAATATTGTATTTGAAGACCAGAATTCAAGCAAATAAGACATAACTCAGAATCTTAGGGCTGTCCTCTATAGGCAGTTTTGATACCTTCTTGATTGAGCTATTACCAATAAACCTTGTTATAAAAGTAAATAAGAATCTGGTCTCAAGATATGGCCTTTGATGAAGAACTTTCAGGTAACATTGGAATGATTTTTGTCCAAGGCTTTGAGGAGATATATGTCATTAGAAAGACTGGATTATGGTCTATGCTCAGCTTCATACGATCACTTCATAGGAAAGGTTGGCTGAAGAAAAGTAAACTACATGTGATCCACAGCACTTTCTTCTGAGCTTAGTCATCAGAAACAAGCAATAACACTCCAGCTCAAATAGATTCTTTTTAGAGTCAATTGTTGCTGCTTTCCAAGGTGTTATCCTAGAGTCTTTCTGGAGCTCAATGTGAAAACATTTTAAACATACAGTTTCATCAGCTCTGCGCCTTGATCATTTGTCCCCAGTTAAATCTGGATCATTTGTCCCCTAGTTGAATCTGGAGCCATTTGCATGCTGGGAGGGGGAGCGGGGAAGCTTTCAACAGAGCTGAGTTCCTATTTCATCGTTATCTTAGGGATATGTTTTCATTGCAAGAGAAATAGATGTCAATCTTATTCCATTGTAGTTACTTCCAATGAGTAAAGATTTTCAAAACTACATTTCCAAACAATGCCATATAGGAAACCATGACTTGTTGCTAACCTTGTTCTTGTTTAAATGCACAATGTGGATTCCTCACAATGGCGGCTTCACTTGACTCACCCACCATGCTCAATAACAGTTGTTGCAGCTGCTTGGCAGATGATCATTATTCCACACTGTTCTGCACAACAGGATGATAATATCTCCCATGTCCTCCAAACAACAGCTAGAGATCCCTTATATTTCCATTCCTCCATCAGTGAAACCCAACTGTATTGAGCATTATTCCCATTTTAAAGATGGGAATTGTAGTCCAACACATCTGAAGGGTTCCAGATTAGGAAAGGCTGTCTTTTTCTCACTTTCCCTGCTATTCTTCCTGGTGCTAATAATTATTATTGTCTCTGCTACACAGCTGCTGGTCAGCTGCATGGCACCTTCTGAGTGTAGCACAGGGATGGGTGGGCAGTTGCTTGGAAAACTTGGCAGAGTACACTGCCCCACTGTGCTCAGTGAAGAATTTCCCACATCCTTCCAAAATCTATTTTAATAAAGTTCTGTTTGAACAATCTGTCTTGCTTCACAGTGTCCTTCATTTCAGGAAGAATTCTAGTAAATGGCACAAACAAAGCAAAGAAATGTTAATGTTAAATCAGATAAAAGCATCTAATCCAAAATGAGGCCATGTTGTTTTCAGGCTAAGTGATATAATAAATGGGATCTGCTAAGCATGTTATTTTTTTACGCACAGCTGTGGAATTGGTTCCAAATCTAGACCTAGAAAACCTAGAACTAAGCCACCTTCAGTCCGATCGCATATAAACTATACATAGCATATAAACTATACATTGCAATGTCCTACCTGTCCATGAATACTTCAGCTTCAACCATAACAATACAAACCGCACCAAACTTGATTGCAGGAAATACGACCTCAGCAACAGAGTGGTCAATGTCTGGAATACTCTACCTGACTCTGTGGTTTCTTCCCCAAACCCCTAAAACTTTAATCTTAGTCTGTCTACTATTGACCTCACCCCTTTCCTAAGAGGTCTGTAGGGGGCGTGCATAAGAGCACCATCCCTGTCCTATTGTTTCTTTTTTTAAAATTTCTTTTATTTTTCTTATATGTATCCATTTCATGTATCCATAACTATGTTTATACTTATACCTGTTATCTTATAATTGCTTGACAAAATAAAATAAAATAAATAAATAAATCCTTGTATAGCTATGTGTTTCCTAGATAGTCACAGGCAAGTTTCTTTCTTGGTGGCTCTGTTCTCAAGGTGACCTAAAACACCATTGCTATCTTCAGGGCTAGCAACAGGTTTAAGAGATATCTAATTGAAGTGTCCATAAGAACATCAGCAGTGTCCTGAATTTGAAGCCCCATCTCATCTAGTCCAGTAGTCTGTTCTCACAGTGGCCAACCACTGCATAGGAAGCCCACTAATCTCCCAGCTGATGGCTTTCAGAGAAAGTCACTGCCATCAAGATTAATAGCCACAAATCCTCATGGCTTGCATGAATTGAGCCAATCCTATTTTGAAGCCAGCAAAAGCAGTAGCCATCACCACCTCTTGTAGTCCCCCAAGATAGACCTCTCCCGCAAATAAACAAAATGTCTACTTTGTCCCCACATCAGCACAACAGCACCATTACAGACCCCACTGAGTACACATACAAGATTATGCCTATATAGGTAGTTCTCCATCAATGATGGCAATTGGAACTGGAATTGCTATAGCTAAGCAATATGGTTGACATTACTGACTGCACCATTTAACAACACCAATTCTAGCATTCCTGCTTGCCATAGTTAATCAAATCATTATGGGTCCTTAAGCAAGGATATCATGCAGTCGCCATTTGCAACCTCCTACCAGCTACCATTGACTTTGCTTACCTGCTAAGACCCTCACTAGCCATGGCTGTGTCCAATCTCTTAGCAAGGGCATAGCTGTATGATCTTGTCCAGGATTGGAAACTAAGCAGGGTTGGCCTCAACACATACTTGGATGAAAGACACAGTTTGGATTAGGGAAGCAAATGACTCCTGGAAGAAGGAGGCAATAGCAGACCATTTCCATGCTATTATCAGGGAAACAGACTTAAGATGTCCATATTTATTTATTTATTTATTTAAATTTTATTGGTTTTTAAGACAAACAAAACATAAAAACATCAAGCCATCTTCCATATATATACATACAGTGTGTCGGTTGGTTTACAAATTGTTTTGTGCTTCCATTTCGTAGTCTTCAATTACAATTACATTGTATATATTCTCAGATTTTCAATCAATATATTAAATACATTAATATCATTGTTAATCATTTGACTATGCTTTTATTCTTTCATATTTTATGAAATAATCCACATTTTACATAATTTGTTTTATGACAGTTCAAATTATCTCAAATCTATCCTACAATCATTTTGTAGATACAATAAGAAAAGAATACATCTTTATATATTTATTATTTTCTAAGAATCTGCATATTTCATTACCATGTTTTATTGTCTAACCATTGGTAGAATAGATCCCAAATTTTATAAAATTGTTTATCAACTTGTTCTCTGATTTGAAATGTCAATCTACTCATTTCAGCACATTCCAATATTTTCTTAACGATTTCCTCCTGTAGTGGTATTTTCTCATTTTTCCAGTTTTTGGCAAATACAATCCTAGCCGCTGTTATTACATTTACAATCAGGTATTTCAATTCTTTACTATATATTTCAGGTAAAATTCCCAATAAAAAGATGTCCATATTTGTTTATTTGTTTGTTTGTTTAATAAATGTATACAGCCACCCAACTCATACATGACTATGGGCTGCTAACAATTAAAATAATAACAAACTGAAACTCAGAAAATGAAACATAAAACAGCATAAAAGAGCAACTGAGAGTAATCAGAAACACCATATAATCAATATAACCAGACAACAAGCCCACCCATACTATCAAGGCTCCAAGCTTGACAGCAAAGCCTAGTTTTTCATGCCTTATGAAAGACCAGCAAGGTTAGCACAAGTCTCATCTTGGGTGTGGGGGCAATGAAATTCCAAAGTGCAGGTACCATAGCAGCAATATGCAAGTAGTCTGCTAGTGTAGGCATGTCACTGGTGTGGGTATGTTCAGATCTGAGAAATGGCAATAATGATTGATCGTGCTTTTCATGTCCATTTTAGCAAGGCAGTTTCCTGGGCCAGATAAATTACATATGCATATACGCATGCATATGCATGTATGCATATACATACAACTATGAAGAGTTTTATGATAGTCACATTCCTTGTTTATTATAAGTAATTGTATGCCGCTTTAATCAAATGAAGCTCAATTGTTTATAAAAGCTGTATAACAACAGCACTTCAAACATCAAAAATACATACATTTAATAAATTTAGGAATAATAAATAAAATAAACAGCACCCACACCAGGAGTGGGATTCAACCGGTGTTACTACTGGTTTGGTGACTACCCTTTGCAAGCGACATTTATGTTTTCCCACTTATATAGATAATTTGCATCCTTTTCTCTCAGAATTCAGGGCAGGGTATGGAACAGAAACAACACGGAACAATCCTCTCAAGAGGGTAGAAGGTTGCACCCAGAAGGCAGCTGTGTATCAGCACCGCCAGTTGGAGCCCCTCCCAGCCACTCCATGATGCCTCACAGCTGACGCCTTTGCCTCCTCTCCCAGCTGATCGTCAGGCATCTCAGTTGCCTCGCACTGCCTTGCCTCCCTGCTACAGCTCCACTGGCGCTTCTTCGGCACGCCACTAGCTTCTGTCAGTCTGTGCTCCATTCAAAATCCAAGAAAGAAATACTCAGACTCCAATGATTAGAGCAAAGTTTTTTCTTTTACTGAAATTCAAAGTGGAAGCTACAGGTAGAATTCTGAATCTAAAGAATTTGGCGCACAGATCACATATACAAAGGGATGGAATTGTTCCCACCCCCCAAAGTCCAAAAGACTCTTCCAATTAAAAGTTCTGAATATGATCATGTGGGCATCTTCAGGTGGTGATGCGGCCTCTGTCCGTTGACCTTGACATATTTTGATAAAACTTCACAGCTGCGCAAAGGAAAGGAAAAGCTAGGCAAGGAAATAGAAACTTAAGAACAGGAATTTATACTCCCCCTCCACCTT